GGGGAGTGGGAGGGCACACTTCATCAATAAGCGTGCCTCATATTAAATCAGGTGAAGTGGGGACCAAAGTGAGACCCAAACTTTACCCGCACAATTACCATTTGTATACTTAACCCTGAATTGTACCCCACATCTTTAACATAAATTTTTTTTTTTAAAGTATGGTTGGGCATGGTGACTCAAGCCTGTAATCCCAGCACTTTGGGAGGCCATGGCAAGAGAATTGCCTGAGCCCAGGGGTTCTAGAACACCCTGGGCAACTTGGTGAGACCTCATTTCTACAATATATCAAAAAATTAGCCGGATGTGGTAGCATGTGCCTACACTTCCCGCTACTTGGAAGGCTGAGGTGGAAGGGTCACCTGAGCCCATCAGGTCGATGCTGGGGTGTCTGTGGGTGTGTCACTGCACTCCAGTCTGGGTGACAGAGTGAGACTCTGACTCAAAAAAGGAAAAAGAAAAAGAAAGTATACTGGATAAAGAAATTGTGGTACATATACATGATGGAGGAGGGAATATTATGCAGCCATAAAAAGCGAAATCATGGACTTCAACAACAAATTGGATAAGTTGGAGACCATCATACTTAGTGATCTGTCACAGAAGCAAAGAACTGAATACCACATGTTCTCACTCTTAAGTGGGTCATGCACAGTAGTCACATTAGCACAAGGAAGGGATTGACAGTCCCTGAGCCCTGCTAGGCGAGGGAGAAAGGCAGGAGGGTAAGGGGCATGTGACAACACAAAGGGTACCTGGTCCACTACCAGGGGAAGTGAGGGTCAGTTAGAAGCCCAGATTTCACCTGCATGCAGCCTACTTATGTAGTTAATACTCACCTGTACCCCATATCTATACAACAAAATAAAATTTAAAAATTAAAAAAAGAAAGAAATTATTTCCAGCTCTTTTCAAACTTTCTGTGTGCACAATGCAACACTTATGGCACACCATATTCCATCTACCCTTGCAAACAATTCCAGAACACTAGCACTTGCCAGGACTGGACCTAATTCTACTTGTGTTATAGCCCCTGCTATATGAGTTTTTCCCTGCTCATTCCTTACTTTTCCTCCAATGGGCATCGGTATCTGAAGAATAAAATGAACCCCCAAATGACATTACCAAGAATATCTAAAGAGCAGGTCAAGGAAAATTTAAGAACAACACTCTCAAAGTAAGAATTTTTCACAAGTCAGGAGGATCTTTTCAGATAAGAAGTGCGAAAAGGAGATCAAAGAAGGGAATTTTAAAAATAAAGAGGGAAAAGTCTATAAACATATAAATCCAAAATTAACTTATTTAGTCCTGACCAAGTTGTCCTACTACCTCCACTTTCTTACTTTACCTCTGGCTACTTTTTTTCTCATATTCTCCCTCTTTTTTTACCTCCTTCTCTTCAATTTTTATCCTCCTCCTTGTCCTTCATTACTATAATCTGCAGTTTTATCTTTTAACAAATTCCTTCTTTATTCAATGTCTGGTCAGAATTCAGGTACAGGAGGTAAAAAAGGCATAAGACATGGTTTCTACTTGTAGGTTACAATGGCAGTAAATCCACTGATTCATCTGTCAGCATTATCATCATCACAAAAATAACAACAAGCCGAGCTCGGTGGCTCAGCCTGTAATCCCGCGCCTTTGGGAGGCTGAGGTGAGTGGATTGCCTGAACCCGTGGGTTCGAGACCCGCCTGGGCAGCGAGACCTCATCTCTACAATAAATCAAAAAATCAGCCGGTCGTGATAGCGCAGGCCTGTAATTCTGGCTACTCGGAAGGCTGAGGTGGAAGGATCGCTGGAGCCCAGCAGGTCGAGGCTGCGGTGGCTGGGAGCAGCCACTACACTCCAGTCTGGGCTAGAGTGAGACTCCAGACTCAAAAAAATAAATAAATAACAACAAACTGAAATAGGACTTGAAAAATACCAAGGAAAGGTGATTAAAAAGTGTACAATTTCAGTGCAAATATTTTGTGGCAAGAGTAACAAAACAGAACATCAGATGGATTTGCCCAGAGACTTAAAGACCTCTGAGTATTTAAACTACCTTCAACTTGTTTCCTTTTAATCAATCATTTAAAAAAAAGAAAATAAAAATATCCCTTCCCAGCTCCAGACCAGCTCCCAGCTCATTAATAGACCAAGTTTCTCTGGCAAGACAATTATAATTCATACCAAAGGCAATGAGAAGATACCAAAATTTCCCCTCCTTTTACTTTACTTTTGTAAGCTGTAGCTATGTTAAAGAAGAAGAAGAAGAGGAAGAAGAAGAAGAAGAAGAAGAGGAGGAGGAGGAGGAGGAGGAGGAGGAGGAGGAGGAGAGAGGAAGGAAGGAAGGAAGGAAGGAAGGAAGGAAGGAAGGAAGGAAGGAAGGAAGGAAGGAAGACAGAAAGGACGAGACTGCAGACTAGTTAGAATTAGAAAGGTATGACAATTTTACTGGTGAAAAATAAAGCCATGAGTTAAGATGATGGCGATGGAGATGTACAAGGGAACAAAGGTTTTAGAGATGATCAAAAAGCAAAATTTGAGGATTGGGGGAGCATGTAAATGTTTGAATTTAGGAAAGAAAGTAAGTTCTATGTTTCTGAGATATAAATCTGAAAAACAAGAATCAAGGTAATCATCGCATAATAAGCAATAATATATAACCAAGTAGAGAAAACAAGAATAAAACTGTCCAAAGACTGAAGCTCAAAGAACCCTAACGTGTAAATGGTAGAGAAATATAGAGAATCAGTGGAAGTATGGATGGATAGATGGATAAATGATTGATGGATAGATAACTGGTATATGTAACTCATGCATACACAATCCGTGTATCGGTATAGAGAGATGTGTATATACATATATGTATATGTATCATGTAGAAACATCTGTATTCCGCTATTAATTAATTGTCACTGGTGAAAGGATAATAAATAGCCCAGAAGAGAAAAAGCACCTAGTTCAAGGTAACCATTCTGCCACAGTGCTTAGTTACATAGAGAAAGAGAGGAAAAGAAAGTACCAGATCCCCGATCCCACCTTATCTTTCCTCTAACAACATGCATTTTAAATTCTGGCGATACAGGTTACAGGCAGGCTTTTAGCAGGAAATATTTTTTTAAATCAATAAGTAATTATATTCACATCCCCAAATCACTAATAAAGAAAAGTATTTAATTGTAAGCATTAAGAATCTTCCAAACTATACATTGTATCACAAAATGTCTTTTGGAACTTAAAACTATGATAAACAGTATTTTCAAATGCAAGTATTTATGTTTGTATATGTTTTCTTCCAAACAATTATATATTTCTGGAAGATCATCAATGTCTTCTAAAAAAAATGTTTGCTCTTAATATTTATGTGAACAATTGACATTAAACTTGATTTTTAAAAATAAATCTATGCATATCTCTCCACCTATTTATAGTGTAAATTATTCAGTAGAGTTAACTTAAAGTTTTGTAGATCTTATTATACTCTTATTTTGATTATGAATTTAAAGCTATTTCTTATGGTTTAAAAAAAAAAAACCCTTTAATAGACCGAGTTGAAATTTTTATGGTGGTTTGCTCTGTGGCCTACAAAATGTTTCAGTATTTCCTATGTTCATTCAGAAATGCTTTTCAACATTTCCTGAGTGAGAATTTTTAATGAAAATATGTTCTGATTTATAATAATACACCTACATCACCTTATTAAAATTATTTGTTGCAATTTACTTTTTATTACTATAACAAGATTTCTAAGAATGGAAACAATAAACATTTTCTGTACTAAGACAAAATGTTATAACTACATACATTTTTAAAATTAGTCTTTATTGTAAAAACAAAACAAGCAAAATCACTACAACAAAATTTTGTCTTATACTATCATTTTTTCCAACTCTCCAAGGTTACACAAAATATAAGTGTACAATATAACATACTCAGAAGCTAGCAACTCCCCTGCCTTTGAAAGGAAAGTACAGTAACAAAAAGTCAAAAAAAATTTCAAAGTGAATTTTAATAAGCAAGATTTTTAAAAACATTTTTTAAAACTCTTTGGAATTTATACAAAAATTTTATTTTCAATGTTCTTTTAATAATAATAAAGCAGTTCCTAGATACATACCATAAAGAGGAATATTAAATATCAATTACTTTGTTACATTTAATAATCTACCAAAATGTACTCATGATTCAAACTAACATCGCTCATGAACTATCTAAAGAATAGTCCATAAATATACAAAGATTTCAAATAGGTATTCGAGATCCAATTAGTTACACTTTCCTATAGAACACAGCATTTGCATGATTCTTAAGAGTTTAAATATTTCTATCTCATCAAGGTTGTACTATTTACCCATCATCCACAAAGGGCGGTGGCCCTACAAGAATTTCCCAAGCAAAAATTCATTAAAACTATTAACAAAAAACTAAAAAACTGACTTAAAGCACATTATAAAATAAGAATACACAGAAAGTCAATATTTTATGAAACATATCAGCCTATTTTTAAACTATCATATAACCAAGTATTTAATAAAATATTTTAATAGCGGTCAAAATTTGAGGAAGCAAACTCTTGGTCTGAAAAGAGTGAGTAGCTTACATAAAACCAATGCCATCTTATGACTTCTGAAAAGTGTAGTATTTGTTAAAAGAATAAAAACTCACATTGTCATTTTTTAAAAATGACTCGACCTTCTGTAAATGTGTATTCTTATCACTTTGGGAGTTAAGTAACAATGTTGTACTTATAATATCCTTGAACAATTGTAATAAAGATACAGATAGACAATGTTTTCTTTTAAAATTGATTCCCCCCCAAGCATTTATGCCTTTTTAAACAGAAACAATGTACTCTGTCACACAACAAACTGTGTCTCCCTGAGACAACAACCTTGACCAGTTTGCAGCGGCTTCTCACTTCCAATCACCAACACATTTAATTTATTTTTATATCTATTTCAAACCAATGCTCCTCCAAAAGAGAAAAAGTTAATATTAATATCCTTGTACTTACCGGTAACAAACACTTCTGTGTCCAGAAAGGCAAAGCCAAATGCCAAAAGTTTAAGCCACAAATACATGGTCATATCTGGAAATCAGCTGTGTTCCTAAGGAACAGCATGCGTCCTTCTGAAAGGCAAAATATAGGTTATCTCTGTAAAAGTTTTTCTCTGTAAAACTGAATCAAAAATTTAAAAAATAAATACATACTCCTCACTGTTGTCTTATCAGACGAGGAGCAATTTCCTCCTCTGTAACCCTAAGAACAAACCACTTGCGAGTTACATGAACTGCTAGGTGGTGATGTCAGATTCGGTTTTACTAACTTCTCCAAAATACTCTGAAGGGTCCTCTTTGCAGGAAGTCAAAAAAGTTGTTCTAAGTCAGTGCAATGGCATCTTACTTCCTTAATTCAAGAAATTACAGTAAGTTAAAAGGATATTTGAAAGATATTACCCTCAAGGAAGATGTGTTTAAACTATCCAACTAGTAGTCGATTATGATATCTGTTAAAACTTAAAAAAAAAAAAAATTCCCCCGAAAATAATCAATAACTGCTCACCTAAGTGATGTTAAAACCGATTTAGCATGGGTATAACAGAATGAGGCTGCCAAGATGATACAATAACTGAATTCGTGTTTTAAAAAAAACACTACATTTGATTTATTAAAATGGACAAATGAATTTATAAACTACCAATCTGGTTATTTTTGACAAACAGTATCATTTACCATTAGGGCACTCAAAACCCGGAAATATGACAGTTTTAGCAGTAAAACCCATTTCCTGTGCAAACGCACTTTCAGAGAGCTTAACAGTTTTGCCCCAAATCTTTCACAGATATTCTTGTGAGACTAAGAGTGGAATAAAAATCTCATTTCTACTTTAGTTATAGCAAATCTTGCTTCAAAAAATTTAATGTTTCTGAAACAGGATATTCCTGGTGCTGTTGTTGAGGTAAAGAAGAACAATAGAAAACAATAATTGTCTTTTACAAAAATCACCTTTTTTCACTCACCAATATTTTCTTAATCTTTCTGATAAGACAACAAATTAATATACAGTGTTCTCTATAATTCTGATATTATTATTAATTGGGTCCACCGATTTACAAAAATGCTTACAGGCCAAAGGCTAGTATAAATTCAGCAGTACAATTAAATGAATTGATGTTATTATCACAGTATCCCCATGCCTTTAAAAATAAAAGTGTACACATGTATAACTCTTTATTTGAACTATAGATTATGTTTGGGGGACACACAAAATCCTTGCAGTAGTTCTTTAATCTTTGGTTAGGAAGCATTATTGCATAGTTCTTGTATTTAAGTAAATAAATATTTTTATATCTAACAAACCTATTAATCTTACTCTGAAATTAGTTGCTAGAAATTACAGAGCCAAAACTGCATCCCATTTCAGGCAAATGGAAATAATCCCACAGTTTAAACTCTAGGTAATAGTACTTAAATAAGATTGTAGTTATATTCATTATTTTATTACAATTATTATCATCATGATTTACTATGGAGCTCTTAGTATGTATAGAAACTATGCCCTGCATATTACATACATCATCCAATTTTCACAATGCCCTTGAGCTAGATAATGCTCTTATTTCCCATTTTATCTATGATGTTCAGAGAGGTTAGTTGATTTGTCTAAGGCTTACAGCAATGATGTAGACAAAGTATGCTTAAAACCAAAGTCTCCGAGTTTCATCTGACTTACCTTACTATTCTTCCCTTTTTTCTGGCCCCCTTCTCCCAATCTTTTTGAATTGTGTATTTTTATAATTTTTACCTCTAAAAAATAGGCCGTTGAGTCTGTGAAAAATGACATTATCTTTTGCAAATGTATTTTAAAATAAGATAGCTGTGAAAGTAAACTGTAATTTATATGTAGGTAGGCCTAATTTTAAAAAAATAGATGTCACGGCTCACAGATTTGAGTACTCAGCTTCTGAGCCTATATCTTAAAATACATTTGCAGTGGAAAATTCTTTGGGGTAGCTTTGACTATCTAAGCAAATACTTGTGTTCTGATAGATCGCTATTATGACAGACTATTTGACAAAATTAGAAGTCAACTTAAAAGTGCGCATGATCTTTTAAAAGGGAGAGAAAAGTATATAAAATATACTTTATTAAAATGTGGGCTTAGCAGCCTTAAAGAGACATTAAAAATAGCTTTGACGATTGTGACTTTGGAAAAAAAAATCATAAGAAGTTCAATGATTCAATTTCATTTGGGCAGGTGAGTAGAGAGTTTCTACCCAAGAAATCCAAGAATAATTAGCAACAAATTAGTTGAACTATGATATATTTTAATGTGCTAAAGTTGTGTTTAGTGTCTGCAGAAAATATTTGACTTTTGAGTAGCAAAATCTGCCTTATATACTATAATGGCATAAAGACAGAGCCTAAAGTATAGAAACCTCAGTGGATAAATACACAATTTGGATGGCTCAGAATGGAGGAAATGGCAAACCAGGTGTTGAAAATTCCTGAGATCCAGGCTATTAGGAGGGAAGCAGGAAGGATGATCTTAGCACCTTGTCAGGAAACAGACAACAGCTCCCCTTAGATGGTGGGAACACTAACCTGCATATGTAGGCAGGACTTGGTAGCAGCCGACATTTTCACAGGACATTCGGGGAAATCTCTATCACATACAGGTTGGCTATCTGGGCCCTCATTGTGCAGCAACAGAAAACTCTCAAAGAAAATAGAAGGAGTATTTGTCACATATTGATGTCACTCACTCTCACTGATTTTGAGAGAGGGAAGGCAGGCTGCTGATAAATGGGTATTTTGCTGAGAACTACAAAGGAAATAGCCAGAAAGTAACACCAGATTTTATATGTAGTTAATATTGTGGCATTTCTTGAGTAGTTGAAAGCAGTATGAATCCAAATCAATCACAAAGTTTGATCAAGAAAATTTCAAGTCATAGCCGATTGACTTAGAGTTTTAAAAGCTGTAATATTAAGATTTCATTTACATTAAATGAGTCCTTTTCTAGATTTTTAAATTAGGTATAATATAAAGACAGAATCAGATTACAAGTTTAACTACGGAAGCAAATGTTACTTATGAATTCATTCATTCATTCAACAAATGTAGAGCAAGCTCCTAATATAAGACATGTCATTTTGTCTGACATGAGAACAAAATGGTGAGCAAAAACAGACGTGTCCCTTATCCTGTCTTTACTTTAATGGAAATGCCATATTAATCTAATCACCACAAGAAGTTCAGCACACAGGAAGTACAAGATCTGACAATTAAGTTCCTGAATTCATCCTAGAAAAAGTGCCACATATCTCATTGCTGAATATGGTCACCTTCGAAGTACCCCCCTTATAAAGCAATGCACTGATGCCCACATCTAGTCCACTCATCAAAACAATTTTGAAACTCTCTTTTCAGAAAGGCATCAGAGCTACCATCTTATTATACTTGATGTCCTGAATGTCATCAAAATGTCTTCCTTTCACTATTTCCTTCATCTTCAGGTAATGAAAAAGTCTTTGGGGACCAGGTCAGATGACTAGGGAGGGTGCTCCAAAACAGTTAACTGTTTACTGGCTAAAAATCTCTTCACAGACAGTGCTGTATGAACTGGCACATTGTTGTGATTCAAGGGCTCCTTTGGGACCATTTTTGTACACACCTTTCTCATATCAAAATTGTCAGTTAAGATTTTCCTGGGGAGGGACACACAAAAAAAGATTTTTCTGTTTCTCCATTGATATTTATTGGTCTATTACGCTTCTTATAGTCAGCTGACGATTTTGATGCAATTTGACACATTTTGCAATGTTTTCATCAGTTCTGCTTGTTACAGATGGTCCTGACCTCTCTTCACCAGTGATGCTTTCTCTCCCTACAGAAAAACATTTAATCCATTTGTATACTGTCATTTTCTTCATAACATTAACCCCATAAACTTAGACTAACATGTCTCTGATTTCAACTACACTCTTGCCATGTTTAACAAGAAATTTAATGTTTGTTACTTCAATTCAATCTCTAACATTCTTGCAACAACAGCTCTGATGCCCATTCTAGAAAAAAAGCTCCAAAATTTCTTTGATGGGTAGACTAGATGCTGACATCAGTGCCTAGTTTCCCAAGGGGAGTACTTCAAAAATGACTACAGTGATGTTCAACATGAGATATATAGCACTTTTTCCAGAATGAGTTCACAAACTTAATTGTCAAACCTTGTACTTCATGCTTTAAGCATGTAAAAAGGTTTAGAATTTATCTGTGCTGTTGGGAGATTCACCTGGAATAAAAGCAATGAAGCTAGACCGGAAAAAATAATAGAAGTTAAATGAGTATGAAGAAAGGGAAAATATTCTACGTATAAGGAACACTATATTTAAAGAAAGGGAGTATGTTTAAGGAATGCAAAGAGGCATATGTGGCTAGTATAGAAAGAAGGACCTGAAAAATGATGAGACATCGAGGGAGATGATAACCAAAGCTTGCCAGGCCTTGCAGGTCCTAAGAGATTTATATTTAACCTAAGACCTATTGAAGCAAGACATTGTTCTGGAATCTCCTTAGTAATGATATCCTTGTTGCCAGATCTTATATCATCACTTATTTCTCTGTCCTCCTATTATATGACTTCTCAGCAGCATTAAATACAGTTAGCATTTCCTTCTCTAACCACTGTGTTTTGGCAGCTTCTAAAATATCATTACCTACGGATTTTCCTTGACTCTCATTGGCTTTTCATCAGCAGTTGCCATAGTGGTTCTTCCGCCACCTGATTTTTAAGTATTACTAAGAAGTATTAAAAGGTCAGTCCTTGACCCACCTCTCTGTTTCTGGGTGAGTTCCTTCATGGTAATGACTCCAAAATTTATATCTCCAGTTGAATCTATATTTTAGGTCTCTAGACACACATTATGCTACTGCATCCTTAACACATCCAACTGATTGCCTCAAAATCAACTCAGCAGAACATGGCAGTCTTGTCCCATCCTTTTTTTAAGTTTGCCTCAACTCTCAGTCTTATTTATATCTATAAATGTACCAACATACCCAGAGTAACTTGTGCCAGAAATCTAAGTTTTGTTTTATTTCTCCTTTTCTGTCACAACTACCTAACTCATTAACATGTCGCATTCATTCCATTGCCACCATCTATCTTAACTGTGTTTCGTTTTCCATTGTACCACTCAGGACCAAACCCCCATAACAGCTCAGATGGCCTTTTCACTGACTATCAAGCTTCCATCTTATTTTCCTTCAATATTTCCTCCAAGGAGCATCAAGTTGATTTCTGTCTATACAAATCAGGTCGTGATAAGACCTTGCTTAAAACCTATCATTATTTTTTCTATTTGCATCTTGAATAAAA